AATATATTACACGTTATATTCAAAAGGCAAGAGGGAACCACTGATCTCAGTGGAGCATAAAAAAAATCCCATTTTGTCTCTCTTAGGTGGCAGAGTACAAATCTCTCAGTTGTTGCCAACCTCAGAAATGTAGGGATATTAGAGGATGTGCATCCAAGTGTTTTCTCAGGGTGTATATAACTGTTTTGTTTGTGCCTCCAGGTTCTTAGTTCCTCTATTATCAAGGATCAGGGCAAAGCTATTCTTGTTGGTTGATATCTTCATAGCCAGCCAAACCCTCCCTGACTGCTGTGCCTGTCTTTCTGCTTGTTAATAACAAGTACTTTGTCCATTGCTTTTCATCTCATATCCCATTTCCTTTGTGATGGTGCATTTATTTAAGGAGTTGTAGCAACCATTCCCATTTTGCTTGATGATGATCACATAGTTCATGTCCAGAATGAAAGTGTGGATGTGTTTTTAAAAGCTGCTTCTGGTCAGCAGGTTTGGTGATGTTTTAATTCTACAATATGTGTGGTGACACAGCCACCTTTCATTATCCCAGTGTGGGAAACCTGAGCTCAGTCCTTAAATATATACATGTCTTTAACAGAAAGAAAGGGACAAATATAGGCTACCAGGAAGTAACAAAAGCTTAGTTCTGCTGATAATAGATAGGCTTTAGAATGTGTGTTCTTGCATTTAAAAAAATAAAGCAGCTGCTGCTTGTGTTACCACAATTTTTCTTTTCATGTCTAGATTTGGAGAACTAATTTGAGCCAAATAATGATTTCTTTTTTCCTGCTGGATCAGATCTTTGCAGTTATCATGTAACTGATTTTCAAGGAGCTATGCAACCATTAACACTCACGAGATGAGATCTATCCACTATTGAGTTGATAGGTCTCATCTTACTCTTCCCATTTTACAGCTCAACCTGTACTAACACAGCTAAGCTATGACTGGGGGCATGACCAGACAGTTACGTACCCCACTGTAATTTACATTGGTTTTCTACATGGGAGTAAATTGTATCAGGATCAGAAACAAACAGATATGCAGTTAAACCAGGGTAGTTGCACTTAATGTGTGGTTAGTATTGTGTTTTGCCACTAAGCAGCAGAATACAGGTAACAGCCTGTTTGCTTCAGCAAATGGCAGCATGGGGATTGATGTGGACAGGTCATGCCTATATTGATATAAGCTATATCATTAGAATTTTATCCCTGTTCATTAAAAAAATGGAGCCTTCAATAAAAAGCTCAGACATGGTGAGCTTGTTTGAAGATCTATCATCACTGTTGAAATGAGGCTAAATTCAATATCAATTGACAGGTTGAGCTGAGCGGTGCCATCTGATGTTTAAGTGGGAGAGTAACTTGATGTCTTGCAGGTAACTATCTGTCAGGGCTTTCTGGCCTATGGCAGCCTTCATAGCCTCTGTCCTTCTCTCACAGCAGCCATGTGCTGCTGCTACATATCCCAGCCTTCACCTGCCTGTAATGACTGTTCTGTGCTCCCCTCAAAGGTATGCATATCCACATGACCTTGAGCTGAGCAGGACAGAGAGGAAGGTGGTTTGTCTGGGATGGACAGAGCTGTGGGGCTGGGATTTTGTGGGGGAGGTTGTGCAGAGTGGAGTCAGTGGGGGGTCAGTTGAGGGGTGTTCTGGGGGGGCAGCATGATATGGGGAACAGTTGGGCTTGTCAGAGGAAGTGGTCAGTAGGGGACCCCTAGCTTGGAGGCAGCACAGTGTAAAACCATTGCTGCAGTCAAGCAGGGTTGCCAGGGTTGCCAACCCCCAATTTTTTTTCTGAAAATCTGGAACCTTTTTACTGACAATCAAACTTTTTTTCACTATGGTTGGTGTTAAATCCCTAAATTTGAATCCTAGCCCTTTTAACTGCCATCTATGGCCTGGCAAAAGTGTTGTAAAACATATATCAGCAAAAATGTGTCAATAAAAAAAAGGTTTTGTTGTCAATAAAAAGTGTCAGGATTATCAGTAAAAAATTATCTTGGCAACCCTGGTCTAGAGTCTGATCAGACAGGTGCCTTTTCATACTTACTCTCTATGATTCCTTTTCAGTCACCAGTTTAGTTTTTGAAGACCCTCTAGCAAGACTCTAAACCAGCCATTGATTTGTTCTAGATTAGGGGTGGGCAAAATACAGCCTGCAGACCAGATACATCCTGCCAGGCCATTCTATCTGGCCTCTGTGGCCCCTAAAAAATTTAGAAAATATTTATCTGCTCCTGGCTGCCTGTCAAAGATGACAGGAACCAGTGACAGTAGAACTCAGGGGAAGTCTCAACATGAACGCAGCATCCCAGCCCCTCCCCATTGCCAGCCATTTCCCTGCTTTCCTGCCCCTGCATTGCACTGGCACCACATGGCTCCTGGCTGCATTGCCTGACTGGGAAACATGGGCCCACGCTGGTACCAGGGCGTGTGTGTGTGTGTGTGTGTGTGTGTCTGTGTGTGTGTGTGTGTGTGTGTGTGTGTTCATGGGGTGAGTCCCACGCACACACCTCACCATACACATACACTCACATACCCCCTTGTACTGCCATACATGCAGACCCCCACAGCCACACCCCCTCACACACAGTCCTCCACAAACCCCATACCCACTCACACCTCATATATCCACATATACACCCACATGCTCCCTCACCCCACACCCACACCTCCTATGCCTATCCAGCCCCCACAGGCATACCCACACCCTTCCCCACACCCCATATACCCACACATCCACAGTCCCCCACAAACCTATAGCCCCCCATAATATACAAGAGTAAGACTTCACTTTAAGCTATTATATACAGTCACCTCTATGTACACTACACAAACACATGTGAACCTGAACAAAAATATTGTTTGAAATCAAATTAATGAATGTTGTAGATGTTCACTTTTTAGAATATTATTTAGTATTTTTGTGGTTCTGAGATGGCAAAACCCCTTGCTGAAAGGAATACTTCCAGGGGCAAGGGGAGGGACTTCTGGTGGCAGGGGTCAGGGGGCAGGACTTC